ATAGATAGATAGATAGTGTTCGACGTGATTCTTTAATTTGACGTAACTTTTTTATTTATGAACCGATTGACATGAAACAAACACTAAAGCATAACTGAAGCATACCACAATATATTCGTGAAAACCGCATCCAACTCGGATAAGCCGTTTCTGAGATTAGCGTGAACAGACAAACAGACAAACAGACAAAAAAAAAGTTAGTTACATTTTTGGGTTCAACATCGACATAACAATAGCCCCTGCTATTTTTTTTATTTTTATTTTCAATGTACAGACAGCACTTTTCTACAATTTTATTATATGTATAGATAGATAGATAGCTACTCTCTCTGTAGACAAGCGTTAAAATGGCGTTTGGCTAAAGGCACAGTTCAGCAGCGAACTTTGATGATCCTTTTAAACTACGAATTCCAATCCAACCAGCCTGCCATTTTTTGAGGGGGGAAATCATCCAATGACATCGCCCGCCCAGGTGAGTTGAGAGGGAGTGTCAGAATCTTACTGACTAAAAGCCACCCCGTTCCTACTCCAGCACTTCGAGCCGGAGCTCATCTTCCGCGGCTCCAACCAGCCTGCCTATCATAGGGAGACCCTCTCATGTAGAAAGAAGCTCATCATCCACCAGTGGACTGTCACTTAATGCTGTAATAAAATATTGCCTCAATTTATTAATAAAAGGATTGGAAGGAAAGGATGCTCATTCTACTAAAGCATATTGTATAGATACGTAAACTGTCTCGTTGACCGAGTGGTCGCATGTCCGAGTGGTGGACCGAGGGGGCAAGCCCCTTGCATTCGCACTTGCGACCACTTGCACTAGGATCTCGGGTTCGATTCCCGGGTCGGCCAAAGTATTACTAGGTTTAAAAAAAAAATCTCAGTAGTAGAACGGAGTCTGGAATTGTACCCGGGATATGGCAATAGGCTCACCCCCTATTACATGGGACTTATAACATAAATAGTGAAAAGTGGGTGTTATATTGTACAGTGGCATGATGTGCACCTATGCCTACCCCTTCGGCGATAAAGGCGTGATGTTATGTTATGTGTTATAAAGCTATGACACGTTTTCTACTGTACAACACGTACACACCAACCATAATTATTAACTCCAAGACAGCCACGTATGTCCACTACATTACTATATCAGAAACACAAACAAACAAACATTGCAACAGCTAACTCCCGCACATAACTCACGGGTCGCAGTTAGTTTTAATCAGTCGTTAGCCGGTGGCTCCCCCTAGGATCGTTAATAAATGGGCAGGCAACATTCCGCGACGCAATCCAGATGCGTTTAATAGCTTTTTAACCCAATTATGAAGGGAACTTCATAACTTCATAGGACATTTTGAGACATTGAAATGTCTATGTTATTAATTGTATTGTCATGTATTTGTAATTTAAGTGTTTGTTGTAGGCGTTAAGAGATAAGACTTCACGGTTGGCGCAATGGTTGGGTGACCAGCTCCTGAGCAACGAGTCGTGGGTTCGATTCCCACGCCGGCTAAAGTGATGTAATGGCGTTTTCTAAGAAAAATGACCAAAAAATTCCCGGAATGAAGAAGATCGGCGGTGTTTATCGGGTTCCGAGAGTGAGAGAACAGAGAGTGAACCTGTGTTTGCGCACACGCTTGTGCACTATAATATTACCTGCGTAGTGGGCTAGTCAAGTTAAAAACTGGCCACCACGATCGAAATCGATCGGGAGCTTTATAATAGAGGTAATAAATACACTAACAGATTTTAATTATTTTTTATGATGTAGATATCGGTGCACTGGCGATTGTGTCAGGGGCTGTGACGGCTGCTATACAAAAAGGGTGTTCCATCTCAGCCTATAACAAATACAGGTAACTTGCCTTTTACCTTTTGGTACTGATAATTACCTACTTATACACAAATGACAGACAAACAGTAACATAGGACACACAAAAAGAACTCGTGAAGTCAGTGCTGCAATGTATACTGTAAACCTCTGCCTACTTAAGATTGTAAGAGAAGGCAGAAGTAGTCATACCACTAACTTGACGTATTGCTATCTATACTAATATTATAAAGAGGAAAGATTTGTACCTATTTTTGTATGTTTGTAATAAATAGGCTCAAAAAGTACAGGGCCGATTTAAAAAATTCTTTCACCAATAGAATGCTACATTCTTCCAATTTGACATAGGTTACATTTCATTTTGAAAAAAAAATAGGGATCCTTGGTAAAATTTGAACAATGTAACCGAAGGTGTAGAAAAATGAGTCTTAAAATGTCTTTTGTCGAATGCGCTGCCGAAACTATTAGCGATAGAACAAAATAATGTACAACAATATTAAAGAACATCATAATGTCTACAAAAAACTCCGCGGTAGCATATGTCCAACTATTGTAGTTATGTTACTACAACAATCCAAATTTCTAAAATAAATAATTGTCTACCCTGTGCGAAGCCGGGACGGGCTGCTAGTGTTATATATTCTCATCACCTTCATATAATATTCTTATAGACACAATATTACTTACATACCAAATCCTATCAAGCAGGTATTGGCATCTGGTTTCTAGGGATCGGCGTGTAGTCTAAATGTTAATGCGTGGACACGGGACAATACTATGCAAATATCATCTGCCTATATTGGGCCGTAATGTATGCGGTCGCCCCAACGCCCGAACTATACTTGCAATACCTGTGTTCTTCACATATTTTTATTTATTTATTTAGAAATTGGTTTTTGTGTAAACTGTCGATGTTTTCTCGTGCCGCTAGTTATTACATACTGAAAATGAGTTACTAAGTAGGGTAAGCAAGGAATAAGTTTCGATTCTCGAGAATCCTAGAAGAGAGAACCCAAAATACATCTTTTTCTGTTTGAGAAATGGAAATTCTCAGTAATAATACGAAATTTAGAATTGTTATCGGTTTTACCTATAATATTTCGGAATAATAAGTAGGTATATAGACAAGGTTTAAAACATCTTTGACTTACTCAAGTATTTAATTAGGTACTTATTAATCTTGTGATCAGTAGGTACGTGTTTTCCAATACTAAACATTATGGACAGAAAATAAAAACCATTTTTCGTTGACACAGACTTCCTTTTTATTACAAATATTAATTGCACATAAGAACATTTCATACAAAAATATATTCTTAATTAAAAAGATTCCCACTAAAACAAACTAGAAAACCGCAATATAGATCGATATTACATAAATACAATAATAATAAAATTTTGATTATATTTTGTAATTGTTAGTGGAAATGCAAAAAATATTTTATCAAATCAGATGTCAAGAAGTTTCCCTAATTATGAAACAGAAATTATAATATTTTTTTAATTATAGAATTTGTTTCCTAATAACTTATTTCTGAGTACGTTTTAATTGACCAAACTTCAAGCCAAAGTAAAATCGAGACATTCATTCATTGTATTACAATTAGAATTTATTTATTGACAATATTTTCTTTATTTATTTTTATTAACAATTCAACAATCTAGCTAACTTTATATACAGTGTGATGGAAAATGGTAACATTACATCTTTGACTTGAAATAATTTCTCTATAGCCGTCGACTCGACGGACGCTAATATTGCGTATATATCTTCCTACAGTATTCATATCACATATTTATAGTTATCAACATACCTGTCATATAAAAAACATATAAATTTTGAGACTTTATACAAATTGAGATTGAAATTTGTGACAATTGTATTATAATAATTACTTTATTTATCATTAAATATAAAAATCTAAATTCTAAAAATATACCTAGTCGGCAGAAATAAATGAATGATTATTTTTTACTAATTACAAATTATAAACTAAGAAGCTTTACTACTTATAAAATAAAGTTAAAATTATGACGAGTCAAGGCATATATTTTAGGACTATGTAAAAAATTGTCTAGTAGAATCAACATTTTTAAACTATATTTTTCGTCAACGTCAACTTGAACAGGTTCAAAATCAATAATTGTACAATTTTTAAAACGCTATGGTAACTTTGGACCTATGAACTAAATTACAATTAAAATACGTTTAATTACAAGTAGGGTCGTAGCGCCATACTAAGAGAGCTCCTCAGATCTTAAACCAGATTCTACGTTACAGTATATTGTGGCATGGCTTATGGCTTTTGAATGACTTTGTGGAAACATGTTTACCGATAACCAGCTACATGCATAATTTATACACATACTTTGTATCATGCTGTATATTAGACCATTTTGGTAACAGCAATAAAGACTGTACTGGTCACATTTTAAAATCTAAATTTGCATAACTGCCTATAGAAAGTGTTCTATGGACAGTGGTACCAAAATAGAACTTAGGTAACAATTAAACAATAATGCAATTAATGCTTAAGTAATGTTCTAAAATGATAAACAAAGGAACGTCCGAGACGTTATGGACGCAGTGTTGTTTGCGTGACAGAGAGGGAAGATAACACATGTTGTAATGCAAATTACCTCCGTGGCTAACATCAAAGGCAGGTTTGATTAAGTCGAGAGAGCTAAGTCAAGATGTACCGGCAAACATGGAACCACTAATATGGACTTGTGTTCCTTAAACATAGTTACGAAACTTAGCACAAATCTATTATAGTCTTAATCGATTATAATATATATTCTGGACGTTTGGAAGTACTGTATAATTGATATGGAATCGATTCGTTAGCAAACTTCCAAGTTAATGTTGAAGGAACACTTTGACAGTTACATCGTCCAAGTATCACAATGCTGAGTGTGGCGTCGAAACCATCGCTACACGAACTCTTTTGTTCAACTTACAATTTTATAACTAGCTATATTACATACATACATAGTTATTCATAAATACGAGACTTTAGTACTTCGAGTGTGGTTCAAATCGACATAATACGGACAAATTTCGAATTAAATTCTTATTACTACAATTGGTGTTATATTTTCGTTTATAGAAAAGAACACGTCAAGCAGAGCGTTCGTTATAATAGTCCATTTGTTACGTCATAATAAATAGCTACGTATTTTGTTTCGATAAATTGATCTACTCGTGAATATCCTTTGTCAGTATTATGGTCGAGTACTAGACATTGGAGAGGACATGCCTGCATTTACGAAGCAGACACCTTCGACTCCTCCAGAAACTGTAACTAAAGTCACGGTATATTCGATAAAACTTGTGTCATAACTTCATAAGGCAAGGTAAGTACGGACATTTTATCGATCGATAGAAAGATAGTCGAGTAAATAAATTAATTATAACAGAAGTAACTACATCGTATTGACTATGTCGATAAAACGTCCGCGCTGTACACTACACGCTTTACAATTCTCGTTGGCTTTCACAAAGCCTTTAAAAGGTGTCTAACAACATCAAACACAAATATTAATAATGGTCCTCCTTCAAAACACAATAAAGAAATGAACAATAGTTCAACTTGTATCGATTCGGTTTCAAAGTATAACAAACTAGCAAAGTTGACTTACTGCTTATGTCTCTATGGGTAATTAAGAACAACTAAAGATTTCAATAACTAGGAAGTTGTGATCGTACATCACTTATTGACTTACCTACGCTCGTGGCGGGTTCACTTGACTCTCCTTACCTCTACAATAAGCTTAAAGCAATAGTATTTGTCGTCACTCGATAACGATAACGTAATTTTTTTGTATGCCAAATTTGAGTTCCGTAAGTGACCGTTGGAGGCGCTGTAAAATTTGGCATAGAAAAAAATTACGTCGTCGCAATCGAGCGGTGACTTATTTGCTTTTTTAAACTCATGGTGGAGGTACAGATGATAAAACGTTACGTCATAAACTTACTTCTAGGATCACAGCGCGCGCTATGTGGATGTGGAATGTTCGAGGAGTGGTTCGTGTTCGCACTCGACCTGTCGCTCCTGGTCCGTGCATGACGTCAGCACGGTGACGCCAACGTCCGTGTACGGCAGCCGGGAGTACTCGACGCCGCGCGCACTCGTCTTCCTCGTCTTCTTATCGCGAGGACTATGCGCCTGTGGAGAAAGAGGGTAATTTAAATGTTTTTATTTTACATTTTATTGCATTAATCACCACTGTCAAATAATGTTCCTTTTCACATTAAACTGAAACATTGTCCGTAAGAAACTATGGGTCTAGACAAGTGTGACGTATATGGTACGTCATAATAATATTACACCATCTTGCTTTCTCTCAATAAAAACAATATTTGTGTATCCGAACGTCACTTCCTGGCTTCACATTATATGTCAACAATATCACATTTATGTCTTATTCTTTCTGTTTCTATCATGAAAATATGCGGTCCTTGGGTACGGTCAGATAAAACAACGATTCCTAAAACTTCCTCATTCATCAGCATATGAAAACAAAGGCGAATAACTTTATATACCTAGTTTATTATTCCAACAATATAAAATAAGTATTTATGTGACATCAAACGACATACTGACATTAATAAGGATATCCGCATAAAGTATGAGTGTTTATAGATGTACAGATCGTTGTTATGGTTTATTAGTATTACGTGATGAGAGATGAGATGGATGATAGCACTGGAACATATGTATAATAAATTCAAATTGATATGCTTACAAGTACACAGTGCCTTCCACTTTTGTTTAAAGTTAAGCTAAGGATACATGACAGGATAAATGACATTCGACACGTGTCGCCAGAGACGTTGGGTGAAGTAGTGCGACGTTGCCGGACTTTGGTCGATATGCCTTGCAACATCAACGTCGCAGTGGATATAAGTCGCTATATATGTCAGATGAAATCGGCCAATATCGTTTGACATGTCGCCAATACATATCGTGCAACATTTCCCTTAGTGTATCCTCAGCTTTATTCAAAGTTTACGTTTTACATATGTTTGAAGGTTATGTTAATTTTCGTAGAAAAATCGTTCAATTTCTCATCAGTATTCATAACAACAATTTTGTGAATTATACAAATAATTGTTGTGTGAAGGAATCAAATTCGCAAAACGACTAAGCTATTTTGTAACTTTGAATTCGAAAGATGGAAGCGCACTCGACCGCGGTCCGCCAAGACGAGAATGCGATCGAGCTCACTTCAAAAGTTATTTACAGTTACAGAATAGCCTAAGCAGCACAACGTATAGTCTTAAAACCATTGTCTAACTCCCAATTTAATAGGGAAAATTTCTATACTAAAAATAAAAAGAACGTAGGCGTATATTCGTATAGATGAAACTAATTGGTCTATTCTTTATTATTTAACTCGTCGAGTACCGGTTTTGTAGACACAATTATAGAACAATAGGTTGCGGTCACCGGTGACCGCTTGGTGTTTGACAGTTTAATAGAAGATTCAATAATGTTAATCGCAGATAAGCCGCGGGTTCATTACTTAACTGACGTTGACCGTACTCGAGTGACCGCGTAAGGTCGTTTATTGTTTACTTTTTCTCTTTAAAGGCTTTCATTACAGAGAGAATAATGTGGTAGATTAAGGATTTAAAAACTCAGGCGAGACTATTCGTGTGACCTTTTTGCAATAAGTGCAGAGGGGTGAAGCAACTTTTAGAAGAGATTTAATAATTTTTCTTGATTTATGAAAAAACTAGCTTGTCATGCTAGTAAAATAATCCGTGTTTTTTCAATTATCTATCAAAGATTATCCTTTATAAACCACTCAACTCAGATTAATAACTACTTAAAACCAGTTCCTGAAAACAAACAACAATACACATACATTAAGAATTAAAGGCTTCCTATGACACGTACCTGTAACACAACCAGTACTACAATGAACAGGCCGACGGCCGCCGCGCACACCGCGAGCGTCACAACAGCCGCGCTGGGGGCGGACTGCGCGCTCGGCGCGGTGTGCAACGCGCCCCATTCCGCGATACGCCTCTTGCCTGCCACCGACGAGTTTATGCACTCGCCTGGTGAGAACGATAAAAATTTGTACAACGTTTTTCCAAAATAATAACGTTTCGCCAAGCAGTGCTTAGACTTTCACAATTTATGAGAAGCTCCGAGTTGTTTAAACCCAAAAATATCAAACATGTTTTATGGCAACTAAAATTTATGTACCGATGCAGTTTATTATATATACTAAAACTTTACATGTATACAGGTAAAGGTAAAGACTATGGAACGCCAATTGTTACGATTCCTACACACCTCTTTCGCTTAATCAACAGTCATAAATCTTTTAATGCATGCTCGTCGGTTAAGGGTACTTTTAATTTGGCCCTTCTTTAATATAAAACTTTCGTGTTATAATTTCAGGTCTATTCTGCTGAAGACGACATGAAATTTCAAAAAGCGAAGCATCTGTCTCAAAGCCGAGTCTTGCGTCCGAATCATGTCAAAGTGACATGAGAATGAGATTTACGCTGAACACCATGAATTCGGTATGTTTTAAATTAACATAATATTGTCTTCTTAACATTTTCACTAAAATAATATATGTAATCACCATATCACCCATAACTTCGACTGCTGAACATAGACTTCCCCATCGACGTGATAGGTCGACTGAAAGCAACCTGTGACCTTTGTCAGGTGATCCAAGGTGGACACCTTGTACCTATTTTTATGGTTCAATGAAATAACTCACCGTTGTCAGGATTACAATGGCAACAGTCTGACGATGGCGTAGAGTTGGTGACACCGCGCTCTGAACAGCATGGCACGCACTGATTGTTTAACCTGATAAAAAAGCAACAAATTAATTCTATTATCATATTGTTCTACTTCAAGGACCAAGGAGGTCCAAGGTTTACAAAATAATGTGGGTTGTAACAAAATACTTGTAACTGTTACAGGGTAACAAATGGGTAAGCGGAATTGAGGAAAGGATCAAAAAGTCAATCGCATCGCAGAACCAGTTTTGACAGAACCAAGTAAGAAACAATAAAAGGCAAAGGATCAAAGCTACGGTAGCCGTATTTCTTCTCAGAAGACCAAAACTGAAAAACAATATTAGTCTCGGAGGACCAAATTGGACAAAACATTCGTCTCGAAGGACCAAATTGAAAATAATTATCTCGCTCGGAGGGGACCACCAAACGCCCAAAGTACTTGGAAATATTGCAAAGAATATAAACACATCTAAATAAATCCAAACCTCATTTGTTTTTAAATCTATGTATTAGCAACTTACCACTGGAGTAGGTAACTTAATTATGTAAACCAAGTAGAGTATTCACACACTAATGTATGTATAAAAAGAGGCACTACGCCTGTCTAAAGTGACGACGCTTAAGTAAATTCAACGCACTCTAGGGAATCACTACTGCTGCCTATCTTGCTAACTAGCTAATCCATTTAAGTGGGAAAGCATATTCCTTTAATAAATTGGTATAGGATTGCTACAAACATGATTAAATAGCAGCTGGACATGCCACAATTTTATTAAGTCTTTGATCTTATTGGTTAAGTGTGCTGAGGTCCTTACCTATAGCAATTTTTTGGAACTAAATTAAAAGTGTTACGTCTGAATACTGGAAGGGTACTAAACTTTATATTGTTCTTAAATACAGACACAAGTGTAGGAGAGCCATGCTTCGGCACGAATGGGCCGGCTCGACCGGAGTGATACTACGGCCTCACAGAAAACCGACGTGAAGCAGCAACGCTTGCGTAGTGTTTCGTCGTGTGAGTGAGGTTACCGGAGGCCCAATTACTCTCCCCTTCCCCAATCTCCCCAATTCCTGAATCCCCAACGATCCTCAAACTCCTAATCCCCAAAAGACCGATAACGCACTTGTAACGCCTTTGGTGTGTCGCGGAGAACCTAACGGGTAACCGGGGCTCCGACTCGACGTGCAGGAGAAGGAACGGGGTGGTTTTTAGTCAGTAAGAGTGACACTCCCTCCCGCCTCACCCAGGCGGGAGCAGTCATTCGATGATTTTCCCCCCTTTAAAAATAAAAAACGCCTTTGGTGTTCCAGATGTCAATGGGCGACGCGATCGCTTACCATCAGGTGATCCGTCTGCTCGTTCACAGGTTTATGGCATAAAAAAAATATCGTGCCATCTCTGTCATTTTACAACACAACTTTGTAGACAGAACTATACTTAAGCGCGACTTAAAATTGAGTTGTAAACTATCAGTATTCGGGCGTTATCTGCTTAATCAGAAGCAAGCAATCAATAACAGTGAGAAGAGAATTAAATGTCTTGAGTTTAAATCACGATCAACCCAAAAACCGTGTATTGGACACATTAATGAAAAATTTGAAGTATGTACTAGCACATACAATACATTACAATATAAAGTTTTATTAAAAAATCCTAGACTGTTATATCTTTATCTATTTCAATATCCTTAAAGATTCTGAACAAAGTTAAAAAGTTCAAATAATGTTTTACCTCTGTTAACAGAAGGATAAAATTAGATTCCAATAGAACTATTCACAAAATTCTTGGTAAAATTCTTAACTGTACGCGGTGAAGTGTTTCTTGTCGACACTTGTAAACGTGTCAGTGTCCTTCACGGAAGGAGGACTCTTCACTCCGTACCTTTGCCCCGAGATGTGGGGACTAAGGAGGAGTGTTGTGGAGCAAAACTGTTCCTTACGAGTGAAATGAAATATGTTAGTAACATTTAGTTGTAAGTTATCGAGGTAGGATCTGTGCTGCATTTATCTAAGTTCTGGAAAACTATACAGAATTTATTCAGCTGTAGGTACTTATTCAGATCTTTCGCGATTCTAATCTTAAATTCTTTTCCTTTTTCATATTTCCTCTTTTTTTGTCTTCATTTTGAACGTTGCCCCACACTAGGTTTATCTCCTGTGTCTTAGGTGTGTTTACAAACATAAAAGTTCACATACACATGACACCCAGACAAGGAACAACATTCTGTGGGTTTGGGTCACACAATGAGTTGTTCCGTACGGGAATCGAACCCGCGACACGTTGCACGACCGCCAGTTGCCCAGCCACCGCGCCAACCGTGCAGTCAATATTAGACACGAAGTACTAAATCATCTCTTTCATAGAAAGTTAGAATCTGTACTTATGTTTATATGCAAATGATACCGTAACACTATTTACTTTAATGGTTGAACCACTATTCAATTAACCCACAGTATCATTAGATAAACTAACAGACCTACAAAACAAAGTTAAAACCATTTATTTCAATTAGACCAGAAAAGCATTTTTGAACGTCAACACAAAAATTAAAAGTGAAGCTATTTGCTCATTCCAAGGTAGCAGCATAAAACGAATCATAAAAGTCGTCTAATTCCAAAACAATTTTTATTTTTATTTTTATGGCATAAGCCGGTAAACGAGCAGACGGATCACCTGATGGAAAGCAATCGGCGCCCAATCGCCCATGGACACCTGGAACACCAGAGGCGTTACAAGTGCGTTACCGGCCTTTTGGGGATTAGGAGTTTGAGGATCGTTGGGGATTCAGGAATTGGGGAGATTGGGGAAGGGGAGGGTAATTGGGCCTCCGGTAACCTCACTCACACAACGAAACACAATGCAAGCGTTGCTTCACGTCGGTTTTCTGTGAGGCCGTGGTATCACTCCGGTCGAGCCGGCCCATTCGTGCCGAAGCATGGCTCTCTCCCACACTTAAAAATACCTAACTCTAAACATATTTGTTCGCGAAATCTAAACTCAATTTATCTAAAATATGAACGATAACTGTAGAGTCTGTTTGAGCATGTGCTCTCGACATATTTCTGGTTACTCCACGGCACGACTGGGCTGTTTCACTCGCAATTTCATACATAACCCGCGCACGAAAGTAACTTGAAACTTATGACCCACCTGTCGAGCCAACCCGTGAAACACGTGGCCAAATTGAACAGGTCCGCGCTAAATTTTGAAAGGTGTTATTGGTTGGGGTATTGTTTAATATAAATTTTAAATAATTTGAATCCTATTTTAAATAATAGTGGAAATGAACAACATGCAGAAACGTGTTACAATTCCACGATAGCCAGCTACATAGTAGGCAGAGGTACACATTATGCCAATATACAATGTAACACCCACTTTTCACTATTTATGTTATGAGCCCCATGTAATAGGGGGTGAGCCTATTGCCATACACCGGGCACAATTCCAGACTCCGTGCTACTACTGAGATTTTTTTTAAAACCCAGTAATATTTAGCCCGACCCGGGAATCGAACCCAAAACCCCTAGCCAGCTAAATAAGTAAAAAAATGTCTTTCGAAATCATGAACTTCGGATTCCGATTCGGAGTAACAATACCGAATTCGGAATCCAAAACCCATAAACATACGAAATGCACATTCTAAATTGTAATGAAAACAAAAAACACTGATTTGATTTCAGAATATAATAAAGGCAAGATTTAAGTCCCCACTAACCTGTCAATTCTCAGCGGCCTGGAGCACGTGGAACAGCTGAACTGGCCGGGACCGGAGCACGTTCGACAACTTGCGTCACAGCTGCGGCACGTGCCACTAGTCGCGTCATAGTACTGAGACCCGAGGCACTCCATACAGAGCCCACCGTCCAGCATAAAGCGGGGAGGACACGACTTGCAGTGGAGGGGACCGGAGCCGTCGCACTCGCGGCAGTAGTGGTGGCAGTGGCGGCAGCCGCCTAGGCTTTGGTAAAAACCTGGTGACAACAAAATAGTTTTACTTTTTAATACCTAAATAAAACATAGCTCAAATATTAATATCTTTGTTTTTGATAGAACTCGATATTCTGGCATAACTAAATTTTCTCCTGTGGCGTGCGTTTACAAACAACACAATCACACTGAAATCCAGAATTACAAATTGTCTCGTGTAATAATTGAAACCGCGACACATAGGCAACTACCAGCACAGAACCATTTTTTTTTTTTCAAATCTGTGTAAAAATCCCAACGGTCGTATGATGGGTACTTGGAATATTTTCACATGCATGCACTTATAATAACAATAAGTAATAATTTTATAACTTGTATTGTAACTTTCGTGAGACATACTAAATAAATACATACTAAAAAAACTGACGTAAAAAGTAGCAGCGCGACAGTCGCCGCGTCGTGGGTCGCGAAATGCTACTCATGAATATGAGCCTCTAGCATGGCTTGAAACTAGTCGAGTTCCTCGTCAAATTATTACGTGAGTAAGCCGAAAAAATAATAAATAATTTTGTAACTCGCTGTCAATAACACAAAAGCTAAATAAACGTCTCATTGTCACCTATTTTAAGACAGTCTACACAAAAAGTCTTTATAAGCTCAAGGCCTCAGACATATAAATACAGATGCGCAAACCCCGCTTGAAAATTGAGCACACGTGAGACTCGGAATTCAGTGGAGACTCTTCAGAAGCTACTTGAGACCGCAAGATGCTTACTGTGATAAATCTCTTTCAGTTTAACCAAACGTAAAGAGGTGACAAATTGTTTAGTAATAGTTTGTTTCATTTTTAAACGTTGGATATCAAACATTTGTCCAAATCATTGTGCAAATGTGTAGTCTTATGATTAAGATTAAGATAAGTATTTTATGGCATCGGATTCGATTATCTTGATTACACGGCACGGAACAAGTCTTTGTGTGATCCACAGATTATTGTTTCGGGTCTGTGTGTCATGTCTATATGTGAACAAAAAGAAATCTTTATTCTGATACTAAACTTAATTTTATTTAAATCGTCCTTCTTGAGAAACATTGTAAAATCGAACAAATAAAAAACGAATTCCTCGAAATCCTTGACGGATACACATAGAATTACAAAATCGATTTTTAAAATCGTAATGGGAAAATATAATATTAAAACTTAATCGTACTTCTTGAGTACCTATTGTAAAATCGAACAAACAAAAAATATAGCTCGAATTCGTCGACGATCAAAAACAAAATTAAAAAATGTCACACACACTACACGATTTTAAAAATCAAAATGGAAAATATGCTATGTTTGCGCAACTACAACATAACGCCATCAATCAAACTAATCAAGAATTGTATCAAGTTATTTATAATACCATCAACAAAATAATATTATGGACCTCTTTGTTACCCTTCAGCGCAGCATCTCCATTAATCTCGTGTATTGTGCTATACCCACTAATCAATAATGAGGATAAACATATTTCGTTGTTTTCCCTTCCGCTTCCCTCACACAATTCATTAGTACGAATGTTGTAATAAGTAACTGGGGAACATTCGGTTATCTCCTTGTCTATCGTTATTGGTTTACGGGATATAGTATTAATAAAATATCATCATTATTTATTACTAAATGACCATCGGTCCCTTGAGACGAGTTCTATTGATATTTCAAGAGAAAAATTGGGGAAAGTTCGATTTTTTACTAAACTTAACCTAAACCATATTATTTATATTATAGGAGGAGACGTCTAATGTTTTTATAATGACTATCGTGAGACATACTAAATTAACTAAAATCGCGGGTTACGGGAGACGTCTAATGATGCAATGTCGGCTGCACGATTGGTCCAATATAGTACAGTGGTACACACGGCCACACATCAATCTATACAAAACCAGTTTATCCTGGTGTCGCGTCGCATCATCTTTCCGCACATTTAATGTTCAGTTTATACTGGTTATGTAAAGCTCGATGTGTAGCCGTGTGTACCAAGTATGATTTCTAAACACATCGACACAGGGAGATGAGCAGACATAGCAGATATTTCGACTGTAGGTAATAATAAGCTTTTGAATTGTGAGATCAATTAATCAATTATCTAAGGATATCCTGTTACAAAAATACATATAATACATTATGACCGAAAAGCTGGCGTTACTGCCAGTACCTTGAACACCCTAACCTCACGACTACATTCTTATTAGTCGTACTAGCTTCTGCCCGCGACTTCGTACGCGCAATCCCGTTTTATCCCGTTCCCGTAGGATTTTCAGGACCTTTTCCTGTCATAAGAACCTTCTCCTGACAATAATAAATAAAACAAAAAAATAATCAGCCAAATCGGTCTAGCCGTTCTCAAGTTATGGAGTGACAACGGGAAACAGGTTTCATTTTTATATATACTATAACTATAACTATAATGATGACCTACAGTCAATTATAGTTCTTTAGACAAAGCTAACTCACCTTGTGGGCATTCCGGATGGCACTCTCCAGCAGCCAGCCTCCAACCCTCAGGACACGAAGCGCACTGGTCTCGTCTCGGCCCGATACACGTCCGACACGACAGATAGCACTTGGAACACGTGCCGCGGTCCGCGTAATACCTATCGATGATAATATTTCTTAATAACATCACATTAGAGAAAAGAAAATTTGATTTTATTTAGATGAATTAAGATTTTATTTCCATTGAAACTTAGGATGGACTTTGTTTTATGTGAGGGTGTGTCAAAAATGTGTGGGTTACGACAAGGAATTGGGATCGTCAAGCAATCGGCTTGAGATTGTCATTAACATTTATTTTTAAGAATATGTGTAGACTGTAGAGTAGAGAGATGGGTAAGTTATCAGTGAAACCAATTAAAATACGAAATAAATAATGCACATTTTGTATGTATTGTACACAGGTAGTGTAATTATATGTCGGAGGATGTTGTGGGCGAGAGCCCTTTCCGTTACACATATCGGTAGAGGTGTGTGTAGGTTAGAGCAAATCAAGAAAATCTTCGTAATGATTGTTTAATTTTGTACATTGCGCTTTACTCGTTTACATTTTAGTTAAAGCTTGATGAGGTCGGGCATATCCTAACTGACTAGGTATTTTAAAAATAACGCGGCCATAAATTCACAGTAATTTCACAGTATTTGTCATTTATTCGTTTTGTAGTCAATTGAAATCCCGTATTAATGATCCTTCCGACATATTCTATTTACGAATTTATTGATTACAAACTTCTTTGAAAGATATAAAGTAAAATAACATTTACCACGAAACCGAGAATATAAACAGCTATCCTCCCCTCAATGTCGTTGTCAATCAATTAAACACCCCTTATTTCCTTCCCCTTTGAGTTCAATTTTCATAAACAAATAAAATCACTCTCGCATTTATTATATTAAGTAAATAAAGTGAGAAATGAATTCCAGTAATTACGAATAATCCTTTTAATAACAGACTATAAAATCAGTTCCGAGAATTCTAATTGGAGGTTTTGAAGATTAAAAACATCAGTTCGTACAAACATTTTTACCATCAGGCATCGTCACTTAAATAAATTACCACTGTGGGTAGGGCTGTCACGATTTTAGTATTTAGTATTTAATTTTATGTGTAGGAAGTATATGACATTTACAATATATCAAGCTATCTTCTATGCTATGTTTAATGTCAACTTTGTTTTTGAACCAGGGGCGTATTAAAGTTGCACGTTAACCCCTTCTATCAAAACTTGACTGTCTGGTTAAAGGTTACACCTTTTTATCATCAAAACAATAGGCAGAGAAGTTGATCAATGTAAAATCTGATGGGGATGAGCGTATTGGCACAATGGAGCCTACCGTTTTATTAAGTAATTAGCTATATGTCACGCCATCGCGCGTTTGATATTTGACAGCTACTGTGATTGCACAAAAAAATTTCAACAAGCTTTCTACATTCCTGCCACCTGGTGAGAAAAAATAACGATAGTTCTCATTAAAGTTAAATAAGTAATGATGACTTACCCATCAGCACATGAAGTCCTGCAGGCTCCGGACTGTAATCGCAGAGCGCTGACGCACGAGGTACAGTTCAGTCGCGACACACAGTCCGAGCACCCGTGCATGCACCGTGCACAACGACCAGCCTCGGCGTAGTAACCTTTACTGCATTCTGGTACACATCTGTATATAAAAAGCAGGAATTAATTTCTGGGAAATATTTGCTAACATAAAATAAATATAACGGTATAACATAATGCGTGTATGACAAAAATAATGTATGTGTGTAGTATAATTTAATAACATATACATAGTATCTTTATAACTCCTACACTACCATTGAATGAACTAATTAGAGACTCTTGAATTACAGCGTTAGTCATACATTAGTCTCCTGAATAACTCTGCTAAATCTAAACAGAAATTAATTTTAAATTAAGATATGTAATGAAACAAAATGCTAAGTTTACGCAAACCTACAAACAAAAACCAAAAAGAGATAAAAATAAAGTAAAACAACTTGATTATAAATGTTGACCCCTTACTCATTAGTTAAAAAAAACACACAACTCAGTCATGACCACGTGGATGCAAAACGTGGTTCGTTAAGGCTTCCGCGTGAAAATTAAATGGAATAACATTACCTAGAGGAAAAGGCTTTTACACTGGACAGAAAACATGTTCCATAATATATTTTCAAATAGTTAGAACAACCAAAAAGTGTCAGTTAGCAATATAATTCTGCTTAAGCAATTTTATGTTGACAAATCTACTCACTTGTAATCCTGTAGTAAGTTGGGGTTCGGACACGTCAGGCAGTGCCCTTCGTTTTCACCATAGCACGAGTCGCAAGCCGGGTTACATCTCTTACATTTCTGATCTACTGCAAATTCACCTGCACTGCACTTGTCGCTGCCCACAGGCATACATTTTCCTTTTTTATTAAGTTCCCAGTTCGATTCACACGAGAGGCAAAACCCACTCGTGCACGTTAAGCAACCAACGGGACATCTAAAAACAAAATAAAAAATCACAAACGAGGTCACATCGAGTTATATTAAAACAACATTCAAATAAACAAATACGAACCTCATACACTCTTTCCTCTTTTTGTCGGCGTAATACGCTGGAGGACATGACGTAACACATCGCCCGTCTAATGCATAAGTCGACGGATGACAGGTCACGCACTGCGTTTCCCCGGGCCCTTGGCAAGTGTCACAGGATTCGTGACATTTTGCGCACATATCATCTTCAGTCTCATAGTGAGAAGGCGGACACGATGCCATACACGTTCCATCATGAAGCACGAGATGGTGTTCACAAGACGTACAACCATCAGCTCGCTCGGAACAAGTGGCACAGTGAGCCGCACATGGCCGGCAAACGGAAGCTTCACTATCTTCCCAGTATCCGTCTGGACATTGTTGCAAGCAGACAGCAAGGTCTGCGACTAGTAAGTGTGCTGGGGCACAAGTTAAGCACGAGTCCTGACCCGGTCCTACGCAAGTCTCGCAAGACTCGTGACATGGCCAGCACACTCCACCCTGATTAGCGTAACTTCTTGGAGGGCAACGAGAAACACAAGAGTCGTCCAGACGATAGTGCTTGCACGCAATACATTGAGTAGGTCCTTTTCCATAGCATCCTTGAGAATCGCATTCGGGATCACAGTCATGCATGACGCGCTTGTCATTACTATCAGCGAGGACATTCTCCCCATGCGGAGAAGGGACGTTATGTCCATCGAGGCGAGCTACCGCCTTTTCCGGGTCTGACCCGGCGGCGAATAGATTTGGAAAGTTTTGATAGTTGGCAAACGCGTCAGTGTTGTAAAAAGAATCCCCGATAGTTTCATAGCCATCTGCGGCGGTGGGGAAAGCAAAAGGCGGCGCTACTGGCGACGGCCTTTTTGTTCTTAATCGTACTGGATCAACTGCTGTTCCGTAGAAAATAAGTTGCCACTTTTTAAGTAAGCCAGCTTGGTTTACATGCCTGTTGCCAGCATTTACTATTTGTAGCGTCCATCTACCTTCAGCATGTTCACCCCAGAAGTGAACACTTAAGAAGGGCCAGTCATCAAAGTTCGAACTAACAACATCGCGTGGCCTTTCGAACAGCAATGTTGACACAGTACCCATTGGAGATGTTAAAAGTATACGTAGATTACCCCTAGGGAAGAACCTTAACGATATTTTACATTGAACATGTTCAAGATAACGCACTTCATTAACTGTAGAACTGCACCCATTAACGTCCATATGCGTAGATAGGGTGTAACCAAATGTTGATTCTATCTGCTTATCTTCGTTAATTTCTTGTGACTTACAAATATGTTGGGGAGGTACGGACACCCATTGTTCTGCTAAACTGACCATTTCAGAAGCATCCATTAGACCGTACCCGAATTTGTGACTTACTTTCCTCTTGACTCCGTTTATAATCCAACCTCCTTCTTTTTCAAGGGGTTGAGGTCGAGATGTCATTACAACTAAATATTGCATATCTCTCCATGTGAGTTCAGGGTTTGCTTCTAGGGCTAAAGCGCAAATACCAGCTGCCAGAGGAGCGGAGGCTGAGGTACCTGTATGTTCTACTGTACAAATGTGATCAGACCGTAACCTGCCGTCCATGTCAACGGTGGCGACACTCTTATCGTGTCCAGGGGTACCTGAACTGTACGTAGTAGCTAGGGTAGAAGAGCACTCTTCTAGGTACCAAGGTTTATAACCACCTTGAGTAGCACTAGAAATAGATAACGTAAATATACTGTTCGTATAGCCGTCACAATTACAAGAGTCTGTATGTCTTCCACCGTTTCCTGATGCCCATACGAATATGGACCCTTTACCGCGACGACCACTAGTGACTCCATAGATGAATGCTCTGAGAAACAAAATAAAATAATTAGTTGTGATTTTACAAATCCATATTTTTTTTAACAAATTGCACAAAAACAAAATCTTTACCTTCTAGCAAGTGGTCCTGGCCCGTCAACGGTCTTTCCATCATCTTCTGGTCCCCAGGAAGCGCTGTAAATATCGATGTGGTCTGGGTTGAGGCCTAAAGCCCTGGCTTCGACGGCATCGTTGACGACACCGTCCAACATCCTTACGCCACCAATACTCGCGTTGTAGGCAATGCCTACCCCGCAGTACTGATTGTAGGCAACTGCAGCAACCTCGCCAGCACATCGCGTGCCGTGTTTGTTGTCACCGTTGTCTTGAGGCATTGGATCATCATCGTTGCCATTGATGTCTGTAGACGCGTTGGGATCCTATGAAAAAACATTCAAAACACAAAATGAACAAACGAAAATCCAAATATTATTATCACAAAATTCTGTTTTCCCGATGAATATGCAAACAAAATTGAAGACACTTTCGTGGAATTCATTCATTTTGATGCCAATATATTTACTGTTTATAACTCGGTTGGTTCTGATAATTCACTTTATAGCATTTCGACGTTCCCTACCGCACGCTTGTAATTATCACTAATGGAATTAATACCTTAGATAATTCAAAGTATTTATTTTCCTCCCCGTAAACAACTGGGCGTTATGGAAATTGCTTGCTCTTTTCCGAACGGGAACGTTGAATATAATGTTCTCATAGTAATAATTCCGTAGTAGCTGTGTTGCAACATCGAAGTGGCTTAAACCAATTCAGTTTTATAGATGCACATAAAATCAAGAATATACTAAATCAGCTTTCCTATTTTAGTTAATTGCGACCGCATCTAAGCCTTGATTTATTTTAAAACTAACACCAAACTATTTGTAAAGAAGACTTGCTTGCACTTTTCTTAGGAGCAGCATTCCATATTTTTCTACGAACATGAACACCACGTAACTCACTTTGAATGCCTAAGTTAGTAACTTAATATGCGGGCAGCTTATCTTTAGTGCTAAACCTTTACAACAGTTAGTTGAACCGATAGTATTATCAGTGTATATTAACGGCTCTCTACGGCACTAGTTACTGGTGTGTAACTTATCGATATGTTTAGAGATAGAGCTGTTCTAAAATAGTGTTGCTATTGAACTCTGGGACATAATATCGATATTTTCGTGTGGTTTAAAACTATGTGTATATTCAAAATTGTATTCGCATGTGCGTTTAATTGGTCATTTAAATGGCATGCGGTCGGTTGAGCCTAACAAATATCAAAGCTTCTAATAAAGGTTTTGGTGGTAAATTGACACAGCCAGAATTTGTGCCCAAACGTTCAATTTGCGATGTTTTAATAAGAGAAATGTCAAAAACAAAAAATTTTTCGTGATTGTGGTACGAGGAATACACCAAAAACTAATATCTGGTGGGTAGTTTATTGGCCTACACTGACTAAAAGGATAATCGGAAACCAGTGCTAGTGGCTAGATTAAAAAGTGCCCATTTTTCTCTGTTTCCAGTGCAAAATTTCTATGCGTAGCCTTTTAGGGGCAGCGTTGCCTTGCTAAATCCATTTATTGAAAGGTTTCGTTAAAAGCTCTCTTCAGCCGCTATTCACAAATTTGAGGAAATATATTTTATCTAAAATAAAAACAGGACTGCAGAGTCTGCGTTATAAACTCGAAATACTTGTGCAGAAAACCAATTTAGTAGTTTCGAAATACCCCTCCGTATTTATTTAGTAATTCGTACCTATATTGGTTCTAAAACTCTAGTTCTAGAAAGAATTTTGAAGTAGCCAATAGATTTAGTGTTTTATCCATAAGTAACATAACATAACATCACGCCTTTTATTTCAGAAGGGGTAGGCAGAGGTGCACATTATGCCACTGTTCAATGTAACACCCACTATGTGAGCCTATTGCCGGCCATATACCGGGCACAATTCTCAGTAGTAGACTCCGTGCTACTACTGAGATCTTTTTAAAAACCCAGTAATACTTTGCCCGACCCGGGAATCAAACCCGAGACCCCTTACCCGGCAGTCGCACTTGCGAATACTCTGCCAACGAGGCAGTTGTTTTACCCAAAGACAGTATATTCCTGAAACCACCTTTGGTATTTATCAAACACCAAGCGGTCACCGGTGACCGCAACCTATTGTCCTATAATTGTGTCTATAATGACGGTACTCGACGAGTTAAAACACATGTTATAACTTAACGATTACGTAACCCTGTATGTATCCTTCTCATATGAAATAATTAGATACTTACATAATTCTGTGCCAAATCCGGATGGTTGGTCTGTATGCCGTCATCCAGGATGGAGACGACGACTCCCTTTCCTGTGTAGCCCTTCTGCCAAGCGGGGGCCACGTTCATGTCCAGACCATCCTTGGCACCGCCATTCTAAATAAGATAATATCAATTAAAATCTTTGAACTTGTCTAAATAGTGATTCTTATGAGAAGAAAATGATATTAAAAGTAGGTATAAATTGTTATATACTATATACATATTTTTAACCGAAAGAGAAAAAATCATTTGGGAGTGATAGGAAATTGTCAAGGGCATTAAAAAAATGATAAAATATAGGTAAAAAACATCTTCTGATTCGTGGTGTTATTGATATACAACCGAACATTGTGGTCGGCACTGAGTTTCACAAATTTAGCTAAATGTGACTGTTTCAGAAGAAAGGAACACCAGTTTCCTGATAGGACAAGGAACAGTTTTTTTTGTTTTCTAGGTCTAGGTAACCATAATTATCCTTGTAGCGAAGTAAATACCTCTAGTATCTATGTCTGTAATAGATATTCGTATGACAATAGGAAAAAAATTATTAGAATAAAAACGGTCATAGTATATCATTGAAATAAGATCTTACCGTATTATTTACAGTCGTTTTGTTTTCCTTATCTACTAGGACAAACAAACTCATATTTAACTGAACATAAACAAATAAAAAAAGATATTCGTTATGTAATACGATCATACTCACTTAAATTGAATTGCTAGTGTAACAGTAAAAAAGAAAAATATAAATAAAACAATTATTATGGAAAACTATACAAAACTACTAATACGTAATCGACCCCGAATTGTTCTCAGTTTTCATCCTACACGAGATCATTGAAATACCATTCATAACATAGTGAAATTAAGATTTATAATTGAAAAACATTATTAAAAGAACCAATTTTTCCAGATACCTACCAAGTACCATTGTTCCTTGAAGAGGGGGTCAGGAAAGAATGGTGAAGAGGTGAGTGCCCGATAGTGCGGGCGATGGGGTTGCAACCTGCGTGACAGTTGCGAGAACGCTGCGCGATCGTACGGGGAATAGTCCCTCTTTATACGCCGCTTTTCCCTTTGCTGTTCGAACCATCTGACCTGTGGACAAAAAAAAGTTAAATTAAAAAAAATATTCCTCAAGCGAGATTTAAAACAAAAAAAATATATACAACAATATTGTTTTCAAAGTCTAAATGGATTTTTTTCATTAAACGATAACGATAATGAAATAAAACATTTTATTAAATTACGTCTATGGGACATTATTTTAATTTAAAAGGGTAATGAAGTCGTAAAACGAATGTGTGCACATTAAATTTTTATGCATTAAAAATAATTTTCACCAGAAAAAAAATTAACCTACTAAATTATGCACCTTACTGAATACAACTAAAAAACGAAAACGCATGGACAAAGAAATGAATAAAACATGCCGAGGATTTTTCTTTGTTTATAGCAGAAAACTCTTAGAAGGGTAGAATCAAAACGCAAGTTTACTTAACTTAACATTTTCCAGTTTTTCAAAGAAGTAGGAGGAAAACATTGTAGAAAAGTTTATAAAACATTATTTAACGTGTTTATAAATTTCTTTACTAACTGACGAGAACAAAAGAAACTAAAAGAGTCTCCTTCATGGTTCTTAGAACGTGTTAGATTAGACACAAAACATTTAGCGAGCCATAAGACGTAATTACACCGCTTTAAGCCTGGACGCCGGCCAAGCAAAAAGATTCCTACAAACACACATTCGAATCTAGCTTCAAGACTTTTATTACGAATTAATTATGAAAAACGTTAAGTGCTTGCCAACGAATCTTAGCCCTTTTTTTCTTGCCAGATTGCACTTTGTGTAAAGGACGCTATTTGATGTTCATTTGTATGCAGTTAATACTTTAATACCTAATGCAGATACATGTGTTTTCAATTAAAAGCCTTTAAGTTCTAGAACAGTAATATAAATAAACTATTGCAAAATTTGACTAATGCCCGAATACTGAAACTCTGTTCATTTTAGCTCGCGCTTAAGTAAGTTCTGTCATTTCAAACTCTTCGTAAAATGGCAGAGATACCACGATAATTAACTACAACTTAAAATTGAGTAACTTTTCAGCATTCGGGTGTTAATCTCAAAACGAGTAGTAGGTTGGTACCTACACACTTACATGAATTATTCTTGTCGACAAAAACTCCAGACAATGACATCTGTTAATAACTTTCTTTTAACCTGAATGTAAATAGAATAAAACTCACTCGCATCAATATTATTTTTTCAGAACAGAAATTAATTAGGAAAATAAGTCTCACTGTATTCTTAGGAAAATATCATCCCTAAATGTTATTTGTTTTGGCTAGACACAAATAAGACGAAAAGGTACAACAATATTAGGTAAGTAAATGTTAACTATTATTAGATTTAATCATTAGGTAGAAATCATAGGAACTTGTGATATCAAATATCTTTCGATATACCTAATCAACAAAACTTTAGTGAAAGATATTATTAGCATCACGAAGAAGAGAAATACCCCTTAATTATTCTAGATTCAATACAAAATTATTATTTTAGACAAACTGGAATAAGAAAAGGATTCTCAAAAGGCTATTGGATTTAATGAAAAATCCTACGGCAAACACACTAACGTCAAACAAGATAGGGACTATCCAAATCTAACATTTAGAAGGTGCAATTTCACAGTTGTTGGAACGCAACAGACAGGGGAGGGTGGGGCAGCTTGCACCAGCGCCGTGTATTAGCATGAGAAAGCCCGGGGCGCCGGGCTCCGGGGACGGGTTTCATTGCTTTTTCACAAGTTCCGAGGTCGAGACGAAATGACACAATTCGTCTGACATGCAACTTAACAGCAAAAAAGTTGAACAAAATGCACCTTTTTAAAAATATTCCCCGCTGTTGTAAATTGTGTTGTCTTAGCTGCAGTACTCTAATTTCATTAGCAACAGTGGTGAGAGCAAACGTTGAAGGAGCGGCCATAAGCCACGTAATAGTTGAGGGCAAATGGAATTACTTACACAAGGCAAAAATTCAAATTCCAAGTAAGGTTTGTTTAATTTTGTTGTTTCTTAAAATGCAGCTCCAAAATTTCGTTATTTTACTTATGGACGAGTAATTTATTAAAAATGTTTCTAAAATTCCGCATTATTTTAGCAGGAAACAAAACTGGGAACCGTCTTTTTTTTTTGTTTTTTTTGAAAAAACGTTGCCCCACACTAGGATTTTCTCCTGTGTCGTGGGTGCGTTTACAAACATACAAGTTCACATACACAATGACACCCAGACCCGAAACAACAATTTGTGGATCACACAAAGTGACACGTTGCACGGCAGCCGGTTGCCCAGCCACCGCACCAACCGTGCAGTCTTTAAAACCATACAACACATTTTTGTTGAAAACAACAACATAGGATAAAATTAATACTTAAGCAAATATTTATACAATAATTTTAACATTTACATCCTTATTTAAATCCTTGTTTATTAGTCCAAGTAAAATACGACTGTAAAACGCTTGCACACAATTGAAATGGTTCAAAAAGCGTTACGTGGTTTGTGGCCGGTGCCGGGGGAAGCGTGGGGCGGAATGTCACACGTATTTTATTGGCGTGGTCGCCGCAGCATATGAACGACTCAGGAGCAAACGTCCACTGTTTGTCACAGCACCGCAAGCTCGAGTAATTTAATAAAAAATCCCCGCTCTACTCTTTTTATAATGCACGATTATGGAACTAGAACAACGAGATAACGCTTTGTGGTCTTAACAGTACAGTTTTACGAGTGTGTAAAAATTAAATGCGCTATTTGGATGACAAAGTATTTCCGACAAAGAAAACAGGCACGCTTGTTTATAATCTTGCCCCTGCCCTCCATAGACGCAGAGTTAGTGTGGGACAAGCTCTAAATCTAATAAGAAAACTTTGTATTTTTCTTCTTTTCACATTGAGTAAAGTTTTTATCTTCATATCAACACGTTACAGTAATACGGGATGGGTCTACATGGGCATGGAAAGTTCCAGTCGTGAGGTAAACAATATTTTTATTCGGCTGACGTTGATAAAAATCAGTTTTTGCTTCATCCAAACATTCGTGCCTCGCATATTGTTTTTTGCGCGTACATTCAGCTGAACAAACAGCAGATGTCGCGCAAACCAAACATAGTTATCCTTCGACTTGGGACTGGGCAAAAAGGCGACACGAGAGCCGAACATACCGAATGAGGTTTAATAAAGCTCCTTTGTAGTAACACACCGTAACGTAATAGGGTCCTAAACTAATAGACCAAAGGGGTCTGTTACGGGCGCCGCAAGTCTACGGCGCGGATGGGTTTAAACAGATTTACGCGTAAAAGAAACGCACTTCATCTGCGCGGTTGACCCTTGTCTTTTGTTGCGCGACCCAATTTGCGCTCCGGTGAACGTATTTGTTTTGAGTATAATTAAAATTCTTTCTTGTAGTTCATTATGATGTAGACAGGCTTTATAAAAAGGCTTTTTGTTCTATAATGTAAGCGAAACACCGGTGCGGCGTGTATGCCCAGAGGACTCGTAATTCGGGAACGGTTATTGTTTAACTCATTATTAACTTGAAATATTAACATCGAATATTTTATTATTCCGATAAACGAAACATGGTTTTATCTCAATTATTCGTCATGTTTTAAACAGGATTCGTAGGGAGAACAGTTTTCTAAACAAAATGCGTCCCTGCAATAAATGTGGTGCGGTTTACATCCGCGTCACGGCGACAAATCTTATTCAAATCTCTGTCATCTACATCTAAACGCGGCTACCCTCATAAATAAACGTCTGAGAAGAGAAAATGCCTTGGAAAAGATAAAGTCCGGTCCAAACAAGCATATAACACGATAATTAACATGGAAACAAAAAAAGTTAATGTCATTCAGTTAAGAATTTTTAAAGCATTTGATATGGGAGGTGGTGTAGGTAATCTATGTTGGTTTTGGTCTCATCAACATGAGAAAGGCCGGTCGGAGGGGCCGGCACGCCCCGGAATTTTATTAGTCCACAGTCCACTCCGCCCAAGTCGACCCAAACTCCGCTTGTTACGGCCACAAAGACACAAAACCGTCATGGTACGTTGCCGAAGGAAACTTTAGTTCACAATAAATCTGACCAGTGATACAAATAGCCCGGGCTAATATTTGCCCCATGTAAATGGCACAGCTGGTCACGTATTCGGCACATGCAGAGTTAATATTGAAGTAAATGCTTTGTTGCTTTGTCCAGACTTTTTGGGTCTATTGATTCGTGGACACAAAATACATATACGGATATAAAATACAAATAAATAAGGTGAAACAAAAACATTGCTTTACGAACAAGGAAAGCGGCGTTTAGGGTGGAAAATTGTTTTTCGATATCAAACGATTTTAACAAAATTTGATGGGCATCGACAATGAAACGGACATACAATAACAATAAAATCGAAATGTAACGTTCCAAAATCAATTCGCATTCAATGCTGAGTTGAGAAATGTTGACAGGTACGATAAGATTGTATATTTTACTTCTATTAAAATAAGCCTCTTTGTCTACGCGTATAAAGAACAAAACAAAGCCATTCCTGTCTCCCACGGAACATAACAAGCTCACATTTTTGCTGATTAGCTCAAAATAAATAAAACATAAAAAAGCAAATGAACATAACATCGTTTAGGGCGAAATTCGTTCTGCACGCGTATTACCTAAAATGGAAATGACATGTGGGTACAATTTCAACAGATTCACGGGCAAAACATACAGAAGCTTATAACAATATAAGCCATCCGACGGAATGATGTCATTTCCCCCCAGAAAAAAGGTTAAAAGGCCCATTCCCGAAGAGAAATCTCGTTATTATTGCAACTCGTTCAACGGAAGCTAAATATGATACTGGAAATGATGTCCCACGTGTGTTTGTGTAACGTTTATGTTAATACTTTATATTCTCATCAAATAGCGCACAGCACTCTTTACACCTCACATTTGCTTTGAAAGCGTCAGAGGTTTAGTTTAAAAATGGTAAGTGCTCGCGATACATGAATACGAATAGTAGCAATATGACTGCTTATTAAGATTGCAGACGGCTGGATCTGCTTCGATAGTGTAATATAATGCAAAGAATAGTTTTATAGTAGATATACAAAACAAATATACATGCATACGTAAACGTTACAGTGCATTGGAATAAAGCGATAAAAAATCTTTGTTAAGACAAAGATTTGCCCTTGAATTTGAATTAAAGATAATAATACATTTATTTTTCACTAGCCAATATATTTCATGTCCAGCAAAGAAGGACCAGACGACAGTAAAATATACTAATTTGAACTTTGTACGGTTATTGACAGTTTCAGAAACGAAAAAGTCAATTCAAAGAAAAACATAAAAGATCCCAAATCTGTGAATAACTAACAGCTATTGGAAGGAACGCAATTATCTAGAAACGTAATATGTACTTTAAAAGCACGGGCATAAGGATCAAAATGTAAGACTGTGTATAATCAATAAGAAAAAGTCGTAGAGCCGAATAATATAAAAACGTATGAAAGAAAATCGTAACCTCCCCTTAAAAACTTGGAATAAAAATTGCTACAATGTCTTTACTTTTGCAGGAGGCGTTCTGCGCCCCGCGCTACCAACAAGGGATTGCATTAGTATTCCTACTTCGTACCCTTAAGGATAACCCCAGTTACGGTGTAAAGTCGCAGCGTACGATATGTAAAAATTTCACATATGTAGACGTACGTATGTGTGGGCGAAGAAAGTACGTGTCTATCGCCCCAGTGGAGGTCTTCACTCTTGAAAAGTTCAACAGCCTTTGTTTTGAATTATTTCACGAATAGTCCATCCTATATTTAACAAAAGCTGGTGCAAAGCAAGGAGTGCCTATAAAAAGGCTGAAATGTATTGATTCTGTTCCTAATACGTGGCCGGGACTAACAGAGTTTGCCGCCTTATTTCAACTCTAATAATATCGTATCCCCGTCTAATACCATCTTTATAAAAAGAAAATAGACTTCTTTTTGTTTCGCTTTATTGGGTAGTGTTATGAGGAAAAGTAACTTTCCGGTCGGAAGGTCATCTTTTCCTATCAATGTAAGGTTCAGTGCACACATCTTGGTCATATTTATAAAAGTCATTTTTGCCACCCCGCAAGGAACACGAACGATGTGTATCTTTCGAATTACCTAATATGACGTTATTCATGACTGAATTCATGTTTTATACAAGGAGCGCTATAAGAGCTTCGCCAATTGTTTTTTGCACTTTAATTTAGTTAGAGGAAGATAAGGTTATTTTAATATGTGTGAAAAACAGTACCTTTCTAATAACGACTCTAAAATTTAATCAAAATAAGATACACAATCTTAGAGCTATTTTAATAGGGGACACCTTTCTAACCACTATAGTATTGTCTTTAGAACACAGACTAATTTCATACAACTGAAAAATGCTCAGTTGCAGAGCGAACTTGAAGCGGAAAGGCGCCACATGCTCAAGGATATTTCGTTGAAGACATTCTTGAATACAGCTTGAATATTCTCGGTGCACTGACAGCGACGTACCTACTTACAGAAGTATAGTAGTAATAAATGTCACATTGCTTGGATGACGTCGAGAGCAACATTTTAAGGATCCCGCAATGATATCTGTCCCCATGTCTCTTGAAGAAAAAACACAGAAATTCGTTGGATCGTGTCGCCCAAGACTAATGTAGATGGCAAGATGGCTGATATTTCGCCGCCTTTGCTTTGTCACGCACTACGGGACTACATCAAAGAAAAAAAGCCTATAATCCGAATGGGACTAAGTAATAAGTTTTTGATGTGTTATCTCTACAAGTTTATCACACTTAGGATTTTGTGGGTCGACACAGTTGCTTTTGCGACCTTGCGACGACTCCGTAGAGTAAATATGAAAGTAGTGATGGAAATATCAGTGTTAAACTGACGTTTATTGAAGATGTATCTGGACCCACCTCATAGCATAATACGTAAGGAGGTGTAATAAGTATAGACCCTTGGGATCCCGTCGGAAATAGGTACAGAAAGAATGATAAATATTTTATAACGGCACAGACGGCGTGGAAAGCTATTTACAACTTTAAATTCCAATAATTGTAATGGAGTAGCTCAAGCAAAAACTGAACTTCCTTTTAAAGATCGTAATAGAACGATCATAAGCCCAAAACATGGGGAATAAGTACATTTCATTCTACTCTCGGAATTAATTAGTAAAATGAGACTAAAAGAAAATACGAAACGTAATTTGGTCCATCTTTTACACAAAGGATGTTTTGATTAATATTAAAAGGTATCAAGCGTGAATAAAGAGATTGTAGATAAATAGGCGAACGTTCTTCCGCGTAATGAGTAATTTTATGTTCATAATAAAACAAATCGTCACGATTTACTTCAAAACGGGCACGGGTGAATAAAAGAGGGTTGGTAAAACATGACATAGAGATACAACAAAGCCTAAAACCCTTGTTCTGTTCCGTATAAAAAATGGAGAAAAACAGTTGTCTTCCACAAAGCAAATCATAAAAACATTACGACCTACGCTATGTACTTTGATATTTTGTTTACAATTTCACAGAGATGTGGTTGGTAATCCTTTTTTTAATGTTCCGGGTATCGAAGCTCTCGTGCAAGCGGCAATCCGACCATCATAGCAATTTAAAATATATCCATAAAATAAAAGGAATGTTTGGTGATCCGTGAACATCGGGTTATTGGGACAAGATAAAGTGCAGGGAATGCACAAGGCGCGTGGCAAATGGCACAAAGATTAACTGACGGCCCGGATTAGCTGAAGGGTTCGGATGTGGACCTCTGACAATGTACGACTTTTCACGATATGCTCGGTTGTTCTTCTAAAATAATAGCGATGCCAGAAACAACATTTATGTTTGAAAATCCCTTTAACTAAATGCACACATCGACGAAGAATTTGTCTGAAGGTGCAGATTTGTAACAATCTCTTTAAATGGCTGCTGTATTAAAAACGTAATGCTAGATCCACAATTAAAACTGCGGAGCACAACTAGCAACAATCAAACCATCCAGTCGTACAACAGAAAAAAAAAACATGTTACGTCTTTCATTAAAAATGTTTTTATTTCATTTCGTCTGTTTTTATTGCTGGCAACATTAACGTGTTACGCAAGGAGCAGTACAGATTCAAATTTTCCACATTTCTCCCCAACCACATTACCCTCGTACGTGACAAACGAATTAAATAAGTAACTCATTCCGTATAATTCCACAAATTCGGGGAACAATGTCGCGAGTCTGTCACCGAGATTGCTCAATAAAGAAAAATCCGGATTAACACGTAAAAGGAAATGAATACTTAACACTCGGCGTGAACGGGGCTTTAATTGAAGCATTTTAGAGTAGGAAGATTTTCGTTCGAGAATATTCTATTCGGCGGGAAGAATTAAGAGGTCGATGCATTCAGTAATGTGCATTTTAGATGACTATTCAATTCAGTGTTCCATAAATAGCGAAAACCACTGATTGGTCCGCGTAGCAAAGTGATGAACATTTTCATTAGTGAAAATGTTCTATTTCGAATAGATTCAATACCGTACTATGTCTATGTGTGCATAATGTACATGTCGCCTACATGTGCATTAAGGATTATTGAAGTATTAATGATAATATAATGTCTAATTACAATGCCTGTTGAGAGATACTGCAAAAATGTGGGAGTAATCTAGGTACTTACTTGTGGTTCGTCATTTAATTTTTTATGATGTTCGTGACTCGGCTCCGTGGATCGCTTGCGGACTTCATGGTGTGACAGCAAGTAGTAATTCTTCAGCGAACCAATCTGTAACAAGGAAACAACATTGTATTAGAATTATAGACCTCACCTCTATTTTACTATGGATATAATGACCGTATCTAAATATATTTTAGAAAAATATGTGTTCCATAATATTTCGGATAATGTATTCCATTTCCGCGAGGCCTTCAGTATTTAAATGGCTATTTTCCACACGGCATCAAGTGTAGCCCGCCCTAAACGACACTTATGCCGAGGCTATTCGTATTTCCTAACGGAGTAGTCGCAACTATCCGGGCCTTATCGGCGACTTTATTTTCTTCGCAACAATCAGAGGCCGTTGAAAATGCTCTCGATTACGTACTATAAAAACATTAGCCATAGTAATTTATTCCTATTGCTTTCCGTATGGAATTAGTACGTTGGCGCGAACTATTTTTTTAGTACATATTTGGGTGGGCTCTAATAAATCGAGAACACGCGATCTGTTCCACCGTGCCCTCGCTCGAGTGTTAAATTATAGAAATTATGGTTGTGATAGGCATTGTTGCGGGTTTTTATTTCGGCAATTTTATTTTTGATATAAAATACATCAGCAAACGTTACATTTTCTACATAGAATGATATAATAAGTAGTGGTTCTGGTTTATACATGTTATTATTTAAATTCTGTGTTACTAGTCTAAAACGTCCAATTTTCGTATGGATTTATTTTGCTTATATTTCAACACACGCATGTTAGGCAAAATCACGAACAATAAATATTGCCTATTTTACAACCAATGCCTGACTGAAGCATATTTGTATCCAAATTAATACATAACATCTCAACCAAATCAGTATTACTGACACATACATCTAACTAAACTAAATAAGTAAAACATGTTAAACTAAAAGCCACTCCGTCTATCTCAGAAGGCGAAATACGATTTCTACATATTCAAATTCAAGGAGAATCCATCTTTAAGTAGAACTTGGTCGAAATAGAAGATTAAATTATTTGGCAGCTCACGTGGTGATGGTTTATGTGGCTTCGGGATGGTAGCGTGTCTTCCCCCTCCCCCCTTATTAACTAGGACCCAGGTCTTATTAAATGGTTTTTAGACCTTTACTGAGGTTTGTCTTTGTATTTTCGTCTCTATAATTACTAACTTAGAATTGTTTATTGCGTTATTTTGTCATTAACATTTATTGTTTTTTATGTGAGAACTTGTGTTTTACTGACGGCGTCTGTTTTCAAGTATTATTTTAGCGTGAATTTCAGTTTAAATAAGATTGAAAACGTCTTTAGATAAAGCCCGCACGTAACAAGTACAATGTAGTAAACTCACAGAGATTCTAACAGTCTGCGAATAGTATAGAATATAGATGCCAAAATAGTTATTCATATTTAAACAACGTTAGCCCAGTAGGAAAAACTAAGCCAACAAGTGAATGTACCTCCCATAGGATAAACCTCCTTAACACACTAACAATAAAAACAAAAGTCGCACTTCAGGAATAACATAACAATAATTACTCATGACACATTTGTACGTCCGGCCTTACCGCACTCGCGGGCTTACCGTTTATTACGGCATTAAACTGCTTACATTATATGCCACGGGATTTTTAATCCTACCAACATTAACCATAAGTGCCATTTACAGTACCATACTTAATGGGAATGACCGTTACACTATACATTTGTTATAATATGGTACAAAAATCCTGCCTAATCCGGAAAGCTTATACATAGATCGACTATGATTATGTCATAATGGAGTTTGAATGTCATAAAAACGTGAAAAATGAAGAGATTTTTTTTAAACTATGTTATTGTTTCTTAAACATGAATACAGTTCAAAAAATCATGATGACACATGATACTGTTTATTAAGATCTTAATAAATTTATGGTCTCACTGCGGCCGCATGATTTGACAGATTTTAAAAATAAACTTAGTAAGACCTACTTGCTTAAGACATCAGGTTTACAATATTTTAGTAAGTTTTGTAATTTGTATAATGTGTCAAGCGTTTTTTTGCACTGTTCTCACATATGCGTACAATGTTAGAATATGTATTAGAGACATTGTAGAACATACTTTTTTTAAAAAGAGTAGCGAATGGAGTTTTTTGTTCGTTCTTCTCCATTCGAATCTACATTTTGGAATGAGCATCTAGCTTCACCTAGCTTCACTGACGGACTGACTGACAGACTATTATTTATTTTGTATTTGTTGACCATTTAAAAGTACCAAATGATGGTTTCATTGAAATAAATGCTTTGACTTTGACTTTGAATAAAAATTGTTTACTAAACACTATAAACAATAATAAGTTACCTAAATGATAAATATAAGCCCAAGTTTCTTTTACACCCTTCATTTGCAATCGTAAACCTGACATAATCCGAAACACTAACAAACGAGTGGTTGTAGCAATATGGCCCTAACTTACTCAACACTTCTAAAAGACTTTGCGTGCGAAAATAGAGGAATGTTACGGTTTATTATCCCATAACTACGACCATAAAGTACTTGAGCCATTTAAACGCGTGCCATGTATTGCACTTTTTTATTTCGCATATGAACTTACAAGGATTTCCCGTAATATACAGGCACTTACTGTATAATTACCTACCAGCTAGCATTTTTTATAATGTAGTACGAAACGAATATGTAAGTGATTTTTCAACATAATATGCTTTAAGGCATAAACACCCTTAAATAACATAAGTAAGAAAATACAGAACAAGGAAAAATATCGGATCTCTTCACAAGTATGGCTTATATTTACATATCAAAGTATTACTCGCTTACCATTTACTTATATGTTAAAATCAAATACGAAACAAATATTTCCGATATCGAGAATTTAATATCATAAGATGAAGGAACACCTATGCAAAATTAGTTCTATCTTTTGCAAGAGAAAAATTCTCCGAAATGTATTTCCACCGCCCGACTGAACCGACAAGGAAAACGTGTGGAAAATAAACGGTATTGATGATACGAAATATGAGGGCATAAATTCTTATTGAACTGAATATACCGGCAGGATTCCCGTATCTCTTGCGAATGCGCGAAACACGGCACCGGTTACCTTTTCACATTCCACTGCGTTTTTACTAGGGACCCTGATGACGGTAGTTGTAGAAATAAAGTAGTGGACTGTGAAACGTGTATCGTACGTAGTGTTTTATGGGTACTGAGTAACAGGATAGTGTCCGCCCACCAAGTGTTGGAAAGAAGTACGGGACATTCAATTCCCTTTAGTACATCCAGATAGCAATGAAAATAATCGTAGGATTTATATGAAAATTATTGAGTCTACGATATATATAGGTATTGTATTTGATCTCTAAAAGTAATTTCGGGACTTTGAATTGACCCATCAAGTCAATCAAACAACTAGTACATGAAACTTCAATTCCATCATTTGCTTGAACTTAAACTTAAACATGAACTTGGAACTATTACCTAACTAGGTCGGGGAGATAAGATTTGATTTGGTACTACATTTGTAGACCTGTGAGTTCTAGATCAACAGGGACAATTACTGCCAACTAGCTGAAATTCACAACTCATTATCATTTCCGTGTTTAACTCGTCGAGTACCGGTTTTGTAGACACAATTATAGAACAATAGGTTGCGGTCACCGGTGACCGCTTGGTGTTTGACAGTTTAAGTGTAGGAGACAACCTCACAGAAGAACGATGTGAAACAATGCTAGCGTTGTGTTTCGACATGTCTGTAAGATTACCGGAGGCCCGATTACCGATTACCCCCACCCCTTCCCCAATCCCTGAATCCTCAACAGTCCTCTAATTCTTAATCCCCAAAAGACCGGTAACGCACCTGTAACGCCTCTGGTATTCCAGATGTCTGCCGATTAGCCATCAGAGTACCACAGATGGGGCTCAATTGGACTGATGACGATACGGAGCCGCGAAGGACTTAACAGGGCTCCGGCTCGAAGTGCAGGAGTAGAAACGGGGTGGTTTCTAGACACTCCCTCTCGCCGCACCCGAGAGAAGTCATTGGATGATTTTCCCCTTAAAAAAGGTGTCCGCCAATTGCTTACCATCAGGTGATACTACGGCTCGTTTACCAGATTATCCCATAAAAAAATCTTCTTGGCTTAATCCCAAATTAATTAAAGTCGGCACAATACATCTTCTTATTTTTTCATTCTCTTCTTTCAAACGTCATCCTATCACAAATCCCTTCTCTATCATATTAGTCCTCACATAACCTAACCATCTCTTCAAACCCAACTTTGGTCAAACCAATTCTTCTTCTTGGTAATTTATGTACAAACCAAGAAGGACTTAAAACCTTAAAGTAAAGGATTCGAGTGCTAATGGTAAAATCGATACGAAAACCAAACTAGTATATTGTTCTATTAATATAAATCGTGCGTTTCTAGTCCACAATGGGCGGAAAATATCTAAATGCTTCAGCTGCTTACAATTCCGCGCCAGTCGATACGGGTCATGTAATGGCGCCGGGTGCTACGATCTAGCAAAGTGTCACTACTTGCACACTGCTGCAATTTTTCAAGCCCACACTCTGTTTAGAATATAGTCTTAGAGTACCGCATTTCCGTATCCCTTTATTTATGGAGTACAACTTAACATGTGGTCGTTGTAAGTTACAGATAAGAAACTTTAAATATTTTCAGGTAAAATTATCACGGCTTTTGCTGTGGAGGAAGCTAAATAAAATATTACAAGAGAAGCCCAAGGCGTTAAAATATTTGAAACGTTACATTGACGATTACCTCCACTACTCAAATATCGCACAGCCTGTCTCCACATCTTCAAGACGACCATTATTCATATCTTAAGTAAAGTGACACAATACAACGTCACATCATCTCAAGAAACGAAGTTGTAACGATCACGTCCACTTATAGATTGCTCTGGAGACAAAATTTTATGTTAACCACACCAAGATAACAGGATTTTACGATTCATATTCAAACGTTTATTACTGTAAGGGAGATCCTAGCGATATTTAATATGGAACGTTACAACCATTGTTGATATACTTTATGTA